ATTATCTACGTTTTAAGTAGTCAGTAATAAATCTAATATTGTTCATTCTGAATAGCCAAATTATTGCTTTTGAAGCGGTAAAGATTTGAGATTCCTGTTGTTGCGTGATCATGTTACAACATTGGACAATCTCGTTCCCAGAGCCTGCGGTCCTTCCCAAGGACCGCAGGCTCAGGAAACGAGATTGAACATTGGAATGTTAATTTTGTATATTTATGTGTGTATCCGCTAAACTTCCAGCGCGGGCTCATAATGATGGCGGCGATACTAAAGTGATCGCGTGGAATAAAACACGTTTGCTTCGCTGACCGCGGTTTTTAGTCAATTTAGCACATTAACAACGCTTTTGTTTAGTGGAAACCTCGCAGTTTACGAAACGAATCAGCCCCTGCTCCGAGCTGGCTTCGTTTCAAAATAATATGCACTTATTGACACCAGAGCATTGTGTCAGTTGCATATTATCGAAAATATATAAAATTCTGAAGGGTGTTGGAACAGGGGCTGATTGGATCCATAATCTGTGAGTACTAAAGAACGTTATTGTGTAAATGTTAGTTTATCTGAGTGAATATCTGCTAGCGGCAGCGGCCTTGTTTTGCTCATTTGGATGGAGACCATTTAAATGGTCACGTGACTGTTGCCATGGCAACAAAGGCATAGAAAAAAAGTAAAATCCTATTGTCCTCATGTACCAACTTTGACCACGTTCATACAGACTAAACTGATTTTTTTATATAATTTAATGTATTTTTGGCTATATTTGAATGGGAGCCATGCATTAATCTAGCTGAGCGCTTTTAATGTTATGGAACTGTCTATTCTGTTAAGCGGAGACATATATCCCCTTCCAGGTCCTGGAAATATCCATAAAATATCGGTCTGCCGTCCAAACCACTACAAACCAAGAATTCGTGGCCGTAATATGAGATCAAATTGCATAGGTATAAAACCGGTACAGCATACAAAAGCAGCCATGCATACAGTCAAAGTAAACTTTTGAAATTAGCTGATCTCAATGTCCAGTCGCTCAGAGGCGGACCAGATCTCATTGACATAAGGTGAATGGCATCGGTAAACAACTTTGATATTCTAACTATCTCAGATACATGGTTTAATACGTCGGTGACAAATGCGAGTGTTCAGATTGCAGGTTACAAAGTTAATACAGGGAGTCCACGAGCCTTGAAAATCCTGGAAAGTCCTTGAATTGGAAGAAAAAAAATTCAGGACTGGAAAGTCTTTGAAAATCAGCAGAAGTCCTTAACCTCCAGCTGTGCCAACGTTAGTGATGTTGATTAAAATTACTGAATAAAGTGAATTATTTGCAGCAAATCCATGCCATTGTCAAAGATTTTTCCTGTTCTAGGTTCTTGAATTTACTGGGAAAATGGCCTGGAAAGTCCTGGAAAAATCCTTGAATTTCACCTTCACCAAAGGGTGGACACCCTGTTAATAGATTGGATAGAATTGGTAAAACCGGTGCTGTCGTCTGTGCTTATATATTAGGGCTATTATCAAGGCAAAGGTCCTCAAGTACTTGAACAGGATAATTCTGTCTGGTTTACACCGGTCTAGTGGTACCCCGCAGATCGACAACCGACAACAGTAACTATTTGTGACCACAATTTAGTTTTGTCTCCCTGAATCTGAGAGCCTCAAAGCAAACTCGAAGATACATTGCCACTCGCAGTTTTCAGAAATATCAACCTGCGCAATTTGCCAATGATATCGCACACATCCCATGGAATTTTGTCCAGTTGATGGACGCTGTGAACGATAAGGTGATTTGTTTCTAACTTGTTTGAACAGCCACGCTGCAGCGAGAATTATTAAATTCGAGTGCAAACCAAATCATTTTATCACTGATTGATGGTATCAGAAAATTAATGGCAACCTAGTAAAGTGCGCACAAAGAGGCGCGGAGATCTGGTTTTGAAGATGACTCGATAAGATTTAAGAACTTGAGGGAAGTAGTCAAAATGGAATACGGAAAGCAGAATAGGAGAATTGCAACCAAGAAATCACTGCAATCGGAAATTTCGCTCTACAGAGACATTGAGTCTACTCGTGGTGGATAACATCCCTAAAGCCATGGACGAGAAGATGCTAACAGCAATGGTTTTAATAGATCTTAGGAAGGCTTTCGACATCATGATTCACGCCACTTTGCTTCAAAAACATCGGTTTCTGGAACTTCAGAGCAAGCATGTATGTGGTTCAAAAACTATATAAATGACCGCCAGCAATGCAGTATAGCCTACAGTTGGAACCTCAATATCAGATCTCTTAATAGTCGCTTACGGAATTCCACAATGCTATTTGGCCTATGTTTCCAAAATGGTGGACTTAGGTATCATATCGGATTGTAATTTGTCGTTTAGTGAACACGTATATAGATTCTTTCATGTCGTCCCTATATTGTGCACCTTATGTCAAGTGAATAGGACTCGCCACCTTTTTTTCTAAGGATGCATTGCTCATCATCCTCATCTCACAAACTTTTTGTATTGTTCTTCGGTTTGGTCTGGACATTCTAAGCAGAACATCCAGAAATTACAGCTTATTCGAAACTTCGCCGTGTGGGTGCTAACTAACACCAAGAAATTTGACCATATTTCTCCGTCTTACAGCAACTTGGCTGTCCATCAATTGAAGACCAGCTACCCTTACGTGATGCAACGCAGATGTACAAAATCATAAAAAGTTTTGCACCATCGTACCTTAGTGCCATGCCTCGCAAACGACAGGATTTGCATATACAGTAGGTACAGTATAACACGAGACAGAGGGACCACTTAGACCTAACCATATGTGCAGAACAGCTACAGCCCAGCGGTCCTTTGTCTGTCGGCGTGCTATTATCTGGAACTCGCTTAGTGCGCGAACACAAGAAATAGCCAGTCATTGAGAACGTTTAAATTAAACGCAAAATCTGAACTATATAGTCTTCAAATTCCAGATTAAGGGACCACTCACGTTTTGTAGATTATGTGGTCTTTTTAAGCCCTGGGCAAACTAGGAAACGTTGTTGTGGAAACATTCGTGATTCTTGATGTTCCCTCAAATTTTCCCTGTTTGCCCACCCGTGGGAACATTTTTGCGGAAACAAAATTTGCTTCCCAAGAAGCAAAAATGTTTCCTACCAAATTCAGAAACATTTGATGTTTTCCTATGTTCCTCACTAATGTTTCCTAGTGTTTGCCCACTTTGGGAAACATGGCGATACATTGGCAGCAAACAATGTTTCCGCAACAATGTTTCCTAGTTTGCCCAGGGCTTTAGTTGTATAAAGATTGTAAATATAGATAATTTGATGAATTTTATTTCAATGTAAAAGTAGTTCAGAATAACATTTATAATTTGTTTAAATGTAAGAAATTCATGGTAGTATTAAAACAAAAATTTAAAAATTAAGTTTAATATCCCATTTGGTTGAATTTAACAGATGTATTTTTCCTCGTTTGAATGATCTAAAGGACCAATGTCTAATGAGGATTAGCCCTATTGCAACATGTTCATTAATAAAACAAGAATCGAATTAACTCCAAAGAATTATAATTAGGGCCTTTTTGGTAAAACGTTAAACCTAAAAAGCCCTTAAAATCGTAACATCCATAAAAACACTCACGACAAGCCCAATATTTAATTTAAGAATAATATATTTTGTAACGATAGACAACTAAATTTAAAAATATTTAACAGTGAAATACAGGCAGTTTTGAAGCCCTTTAGTAATTAAACCGTCGGGGAGTGTTTGAGATTAGTGCAGTTTCCATTCCTTTCTCGTTTCGGAAAGAAGTGACGTTTTGCAACTGCAATTGCCAAATGTGACGGGGCGCATGAGGGAAAACGAAATCCCACCACCAAAAGACAGTAAGAGATGATGCCAGTGCTTATGTAATTCGATAACTCGCTTGTGGAATCGGAGGAGGTAAGAGAATAGTTAATAGTTTTGTTTATAAAATAACTTGGTATTAATAGGAACACACTATGTGATTGGCCACCAAGCCGAAACAAGCCTTCTGGTTATGTCATAATAACAACGCGGCTGACGTGAGACTAGGTGAGAGCGTTTTTAGATACATTTTAAGTGGTTTAGGTATGATTTGTTACAGTATAAACGCACGAATGTTGTCACTGGCATTCGGATTTCGGTGAACCAAAAAAAATGGCCAATGCGCATGCAGCGTCGCGAACCAATCATATTCCTTGTTTTGTATAGACCAAAAATCACGTCACGTAGCGTGTTTACGTTTTGTCAAACTCTCTCCCTTTATAAAATTTTCTTCCTTTTCATTTTATAAAAGGAACTTATTGCCACAGCGATAAGAGTTTTGTTGCTTCCCGGAATAATTTATGGTTGAAATTAATTATGCGAAATAAGTAATTTGCGCGCGCAAGTTAATTTAGGTATAGTCACGTGACTGGAAATTTTGGTATTTATCAGTGGTGAAGCAGGCTATCTGTCCTTTCCTATTCCACGAGGGCTGCAGTTCACATCAAGAAATTGGATGGAAGAGAATTATCTTCTGTATCTGGTAAATATCTCTTACTTATGCATAATAATTAATAATATATTGGATACCAAGGACATTTCTATTTTGCTTGCGACATAGGGATATGTATGGGACTTTACTTACAAACCAGACTGCGGGGTTGGCCATTTCGGGTTCGCAAAAGTTAGAAACTCGAAGTGCGTGTGCGCAAAACAGTTCCCAAGTGTGCATGAAGATGCAGTCAAGGGCGCAAATGTAGCAAGATACATGTTAAAAACAATGAAAATTAGAGATTACAGCTAGGGCAGATTAAATGGCGAAAATTGTTATAAAGTGCTAAATTTCTGCCTAAAAAATATCGAGTGCGACGTTGACTAACTCTGCAGTCTGGTTTACAATGACTCACATATTCATGACTTTCAGTCGCAGTCTACAGGGGTAACTACAGTACACTCTAAATTGAATAAATGTGAACTTTAGGAATTTATTAGCCAGCCCCTAGTCTTCCGATTTATATTAAAATGGGAGCTAAATTTTTGGGAGATATCTACCCTCAGTGTGTAATAGATAGTTTTGCTCACACAGCTACTCGTGGTCGTGATTCTACAAGCGTAGCAGATCAATACTGGGCTCCTTGCAATTCAGTTTGGGGCGGCGACGACGGCCACAACACACTCCTTCAAATAAATGGTAGTAAAAATAATTCGACGCGTATTATCAGTCGTATGAATTTAATACAGTCTTCAGAGGCTCAGAGCAGAACACTCCGTTACGGGTAACCTTAACTATTTATACAGAATACCTATATAAAGTGATAATTATTAACAACACGATTTAACAGAGAGACTAGACAAGGGACGACATGAATGACATTTAACATGGGTTTTATGACATGGTTTAGTTCGGCTGAACCTGGTTTCAAATTGCACTTGTTGCGGCTTGAAATGCAGCCGTTGCATCAAGACGTAAAATCTCTGATTTGGCGCAGTAATTACAGAGCGAAGACAATGTCTAAATTATTCATATATTGTGATTATTCCATTCTCTCAATGATTTATTGTATTGGAGGCTGTTGCTGTCGCGTTGCCGTCCTGGGTCGTAGGGTCTCTAATGCGAAAGCTCAGCGTCTTTGACTTGTGCAAGCTCTGCGTTTAGTATAAACGTACTATATGTAGCATATACCTTGCGCTGTTGCGTGACTAAAATTTTCCGTGGCTTTTCAAAGCGAAATAATCCAACTTGATAATGACATTAACAGGATATTAAATCCCTACGGCGTCAATTATCGATTAATTATAGCCTACGGCTACTGCTGACACATTATGTCCAGTCCTCGCGATTGCATATATTTTACAGATGTTAATTTCTTTACTATACTTAATACGAGGCAGATTATAATCTGGGGGCATGCATGTCTGTGCTCTTCACTATATTTGTATGATATAGTGGGTATTTGTGCTAATTTTATGTTAGGGGTCAGAATTGTATACGTATATGTTATCATCATTATGTCTGTACATATGTTATCATGAATATGCTAACAATAGCATTTGCGGTGTTGTTGCTGGTAACTATAGCATATTGTGCTATTGCTATTCGGGTTTATTAGCTTATTAGCAATATTCCCGTTGTTACCGTTTCATGTTATTGAAGTCATTTCATGTTTTATGGGCTATAGAGCAACTTGGCTGTTTTCAGATGCCCACGTTGAGATTTCAACTTTGCCCTTGGGTTTTTTGCTACACAGAACTTTTTCAGGCATTTGTGGCATTTATATATACGATTGTTATAACTTTGTATTGTTTTGTGTATATACGTGTCAAAGTTGTGTTTTAAACATTGTACGTATATATATATTCTGCCCTTGTTCTTGTGTCAAATACCCACAGTTGAAATCAATATATTATGGGATGGTGCGGCTGCATGGTTGTTTTCAGATTGCCCGAATAATTATTATTTGCAGCATTGTATAGATGGAATATTCAATTTGCGGCTACCTCCGATGTATGCCATTGTGATTATTCCCCGCTGCTTCGTGTTTTGTATGTTTCTCTGTAAATTTCATGTGTTATGGGCTAGAGCACTAGCTGTTTTCAGATGCCCACGTTGAGATTTCAACATTGGGTTTTTCCTTCACAGGACGTTTTCATGAATTTCTGGCATTTATATACATATATATGTTCGTGTTCTCATTCAGTCTGTTCTGTATACGTGGCTGTTACGGCTGTTCTCGTCTAAACTTATGTTGTGTCACTGTGACCGTATATAATTTGCTACTGTTCCTGTGTTAGGAAAAATGCATGTCTACGTAGGATAGAGCGATTATCGTTTTCAGATGCCCACAGTTGAAATCAATATATTGTGGGACGATGCAGCTAGTTGTTTTCAGATTGCCCGAATATTTATATATTTTGCAGCATTGTATAAATGGAATATTCAATGTGCGGCTACCTCCGATGTATGCCATGATTATTCCGCTGCGTTGTGCGATGTATGCCAACTTCATTTCGTTGTGACGTTTACATATATGTCAATACTTCTAACGTTTTGCAGTATTGTTATAGAATATCAGTTAGATTATTCCACTGCTTTTTGTCTTACATGTTATTTTATTATTGTACAGTATGTTTTTGTTAGGTTTATAGC